GGCGAGGTGTTAGAGGGATGCTATCCCCAACAGGTGCAACAACATTGGGAGCAACACTACGGTATGGTGGGGCTGCCACAACTTCAGTGGGCTGGGCAGCCCCAGTCATAAGCCCAGCACTGCCCAGTGCAGTGGTTACTGATCTTGCCACACTAGATGGTCCAGCACCATCACTGGCTCCCCCATCTGTTCGAAGGACGATCTCTGTGGACTCATTGTTTGGACCAGCCACCTTCAAGGAGATCACCTGAAAAAAACACTTTGTCAATAAAACAAACACACAAACATGAATATATATGCATATATGTAAATCAATCAATAAAAAAATATATATATATATAACACACTGTCTATCACTGGCGACTCAAATAGTATGTTTTTTTGTTTTTTTAATAATGGAAGAAAAAATCAATAAATGCAATGAACTTTCACAAATTAAAAGCTTACTGAATTATATTCTTATTCTGCATCTGACTCTTGAAATAAAATTCAATAATCACAACATTGCCAGTCAAGAAATACTAGTAAAAAGAAAAGAAAAGTGATCCCATTGATGTGAAAGCAGAAGTAACAACAAAAATCCAGCATAACATATTCAATCCACAGGTCACACACATATTATATCAATAATAAAGGACTTGAAATTCAACTTATATTAAGAAGGAAAAAAAACAAGATGTAGCTCCCCCTATGAGCCTGTAAAACACTACCTGGCATACCTGGTCTCCTTCCACTTGAACAGAAAGGATACCCAGTTGTCGCAATGCTTGGTCTCCTGCCTGCGCCAGCTGGTGCAGGCGCACAGCAGCCTCCCGAGGGATGGAAAAAGTCACTCTCACACTGTTCCATGGCTCAACCTTACGTACAAACCAAGTGGAGTCTGTTGGGAGTACAGGAAGCAATTTTTCAATTTTCATACTATAAATTAGCAATTATTTTCAACATCATTTTGGTTTACATGCTATGACAAATTTGTTTATAACTATGAAATTTGTTTCCTACAAAAGTAAAATAACAACAATAATAATATGATCATAATAATAATAATAAAATATCTAAAAACACAGATTGCCACAACTGTAAGTACAAGTTGCTACTCCTACTACGTAGTTATATGTTAAATAAAACTGATAATATTAGACTTCAGTAATATTAGCAAATGTTAATTATCTGCATAACTCAAATTGGTACCTAAATTTCATACATAAAGAACTATTTTCCAAATTTACTTCAGAATGTATTTTCTTTTTCTCTTCTTTGTTCATATAGTTTAGCCACTCCAACAACTTTATCAAATGATGGTATTGAAACCAGTGGTCTTAACCTATTTGACAGAATCTGATCCTAGTTGGTGATATGATAAAAGCTGCACACCTGGCATTCAGATTTGGGAAAGTTTTATAAATTTTTTCTTCAGATCTTTTTTATACCAATATGATTTTACATGAACAGAAAAGGCAAGCATTTGTTATCATACTTCATAGCATCACATTTAGTTCATGGAAATGTTATAACATAGGCAATACCTTTCATGGGCTCAGGGTGCAAGACGCCTAGAGCACCTGGCCTCTCTTTGGTGCCATCTGTGTATATTCCTGAGCAACAGGCTCGTCTCTGTTGTTTTCTGTGCATTTTTGATATAATGACCCTGGACTCATCAGAAAGTGAACTAATGTCTTTGCTTATCGTTACATGTTGATTAATAGTCATAACCACTTCTTTAGTCCAGAGTTGGCAATACAGCTAATCATATGAAAAAGAATTGAACATGTTCGATAGACCTTATTCAATCTGAGAGAGTGGGAGGAGGGGGGGCACAATGAAAGTACATTTAATATAGAGCCACCATGTAATACAAAAAGGTAAGTATAGATTTAATAAGACAAGCGAGCATGATCTCATCCAGCCACCTGTCTACACCCAGACTGATGAATGACACTGAATCAAAAACTTTACTGAAAAAAATTGTTGGTACAATTTTCCAATTTTACACATATTTTTTTCCTAATAAATTGTGAATTAAATCAATTTTCATAAAATAAAAGCACCAAGATCTTTATGAAAATAATAAAAATATTTCAAATCACCAATTCTCACTGAAGGTTTTATTTCAGATTTTAACATCTATCAGCCTTCACAGTCAAGTAACTCATCATCAAAATTACATAAAAATAAGACAAATACAGTCACCAAGGCAAAATTGGGTTCTAGTTACCTTACTGGTGATGGGTGATGTGATGCTACAATTTGGTGAGTGATCATATACTTCTCGTAACAAACTGAGTCTATCTCCTATCATCTGAATGTGATCTAGCACAAACTAACAGGAGCCTGTCCTTGATCAATTTACCAAAATTGTTCCTAGCATTATCATTTCCTAATGTTTGTAACAATAAACCTTCCCAATGATTCAAAGGTCTTACCACTGACAGTGCAACTGACCTGTGTAAAGAAAATTGGTTTTTTGGTAAGTTGGGTTGGGTTCTTACAGCATTATTTA